ATAAAAAGATAACCTAAAACTAATAGAGAACTATATTCATTGACAGAATGATTATTGATTTCAGTTCTCTTCTAGATTGATCTTTAAGTTCTTTGAAAGTTCTATAAAAATATAAAAAGACTTTTTTTCAAACTGCTTTGTAATATTTTCAAAACTTATTTGCCTATGAAGTTCAAGAATAGCTGTGATAAAGTACAAGAGTAGGTAGATCTGCTGCATTACATTAAGATTTATAATAAAATCAAAATAATTGAGTGTAAAATTGGTACAGAAAAAGAAATAGGCAAGTGGCTTAAGTAGTCCCCAAACAAAGCCACATATTTGTGAAAACTTTGCATTTGCCAGAGGTGGAATCCTGCTGTTTGTGAGTGATGGATAGACAAGTTGGTGAACATTGCTGGTTAGTCAGTCATGTGTATGAAAAGCAATGAGATGGGACCTTGACCTCACCTGTACTAGAAAAGCCAATTGTAGATACACAATGCAAATGCAAAACAGTCAATTTTATACCTTTTAGAGAAAACATGAGGAATTGTCTTTACCTCACTGAGAGATTTCTTAAACCAGACACAAATTGCACAGAACAAAACAAGAATGTTTAAAGTTTGACTCTGTTTATGGAAAGGAAACCTTTATTAAATGGAAAGTCATAGGAAAGTCACCAGTGTATAAATTATGTAGAAACCTAATAGTCTGAGACAAGAGTTTGGTCCAGCAACTAAGCCTTTGCTCAGGATGCTTGCATCTCACACTGGAGTGTCTGGGATCAAATCCAGGCTCTGCTCCTGACTTCAGATGACTGCTAACCTGCACCTTGAGAGGCAGAAACAAACAGCTGGGTCCCTACCATGAACACGAGACACTCTGAGTTCCAGCGTCTCAGCTTTGGCCTACCCCAGCTCCAGGTTTGGCAGGCATTTAGAGAGTGAACCATCTGATGAGAAATCCCTACCTGTTTCTTTCTCTCTGTTGCTCTGCCTTTCAAATAAATAAACTTCTTTGAAGATGCTGCTTTGGTTGCCCCCAAATCTATGCAGCAATGCTTGGTTTCAAGACCTGTTGTGTTTCCAATGCCAGGTTTCTGCTAATGAACACCCTGGTGATGGCTCAAGTAGTTGGATCTCTGCCACTCACATGGGAGACCTGGAAAGAATTCCAGGCTCCTGCCTTTGGCCTGGCCCAGTTCTGGCTACTCTGGGTATTTGGGGGAATGAACCAGTGAATGGAAGATGTTTCTATGTCTCTGCTACTTTGCCTCTTAAAAAGATTAAAAACTAAAAAATATTATTGTAGTAGTTAAAAATGCCTATTATGCACTGTTAAACATAAAAATTATACAATGAATAATAAAATGAACATCAGTCCCTTTAAGAAATAAAGCATTACCAGTGCAATTAGAGGCTGTTGTAATTGAGTTTTTGTTACTCCATGCTTTCACCATCACTTGGCATTATCAGACTTTTTAACTTTAAGCCATCCTATAGATTTAATTATGTATCTGGTTTTATTTGCCTACTTTTATCTACCATTAAAGTTTAGGGTCCTGTGAACCACTACTTCAAATTTTTTGCCTGGAGTTTCCATCATGAGGGTAAAAAATCCAAGATTGTTTTGAAAACTTACATAATTGAAAGGCAGACAGAAAGACAGAGATCCCCCTATGTCTTGTTCAATCCCTAAATGCCCTCAACAGCTGGGGCTGACCAAGGTGAAAGCCCAGAACTCCATCAGGTGACCCACGTGGGTGGCAGGGACACAAGTACACCTGCTGCAACCCAAGGTGTACACTAGCATGCAGCTGGATCAGGAGTGCAGCCGGGACTGGACCCAGGCACTCTTCCATGGAATGACAGCATTCCAAGCTGCCACCTGCCAGGCCAGATGGCCATTCCCTCTATGAGGATTATGACTCCAAGTTTAATAACTAAGTCAGAAGTAAAGGGAAGCCAGTTATTCAGCTTCGTATTTTGAGACCTGGTTCGTACCAGGCCAAGGGAGGAGGTAAAATGATGAAAATAGGGTGCAAGTGAGCGTGGGGAGAGAGCAGAAATCTGAGGTGCCAGGTGATCGGGTTGCTGAGACTTCTCCTGATCAATCACAGTTCTTAAATACGCTCAACTCCCTAAGACCTCTTCCTTCAGGAAATCGCCCCTTCATCAAAGTCAATTACCTTTTTTTTTTTTTAAGATTTTTATTTTTATTTATTTGAGAGGTAGAGTTACAGAGAAAGGGAGAGAGAGAGAAAGGTCTCCCATCTGCTGGTTCACTCCCCAAATGTCTGCAACAGCTCGAGCTGGGCTGGGATGAAGCCAGGAATTTCTTCTGGTCTCCCACATGGGTTCACGGGACCAAGCACTTGGACTGTCTTCCACTGCTCTCCCAGGCCATTAGCAGAGAGCTGGATTGGAAGTGGAGCAGCCCAGACAGGAACCAGAGTTCTTGTGGGATGCTGGCTCCGCAAGGTGTAAGCATAGCCTAGTACATAACAGCACCGGCACCTCCTTTCCTTGCAATACTTGTTAAGTTCCTGTTGTTCACTTATGTTCAGTAACTTTCCACCTATGAACATTATTTGCACATGTGCTGTTTCTTTTCTACTTTTTCTCTCATGATGTGATGTCTGTAATCCCTTACAAACAGTTTAGGATGTTCTCAGTAGCATCTGCTGCAACAGCACCAGGTTGGTACAGGAGAAAGACAGGCAAGAGAGGCAGGAAGAACTAGAATCAAACCTCAGTTTCAGACCTGCTAGCTGTGCTGTCTTAGTACAGTGACTCCAGCCCTTAATTTACTGGAAAGTGGAGACTATAATTGCTAAACTTTCAGGACCTTGTGTTATTAGAATTAAAAGTATCAATTACAGTAGCTAAGGCAGAGCAGGTGCCTGGTAAACATGAATTCCCTTATTTCTTCATTCTGTTAGTCTGAAAGATCTAGAACTTATCTTCAGTAAGGAGAGTTATATCAACACCAAAAAAAAAAAAAAAACATGGAAAACACAACTTTAATGGTGATCTAGCTATGCGGCAAGCCTAACTTCTTTAAAATAAGCAGCTATTTCACTAGCGCATAGAGAGAGATTACAGATACACTGAGAACTTACACTTAGCAGCCTGTAGAACCCTGAGGTTCTGGAAGGGCTGAGGTTTAAGAACTGGTAAAATCCAGGCTATGAAAGCTCCCAAGGACACTGGGACACTCTTTTCTCTGTTCCTCTAGCACACAAGTCAAAATACATCCTAAGATCACAGGGCCAATTTCTGCCTTTATAGTGCCATTCTTTCTCAAAGCAAGCAAAAATTAACATGAAAAATAAACATAGCTCTTCACTATTCTCAACACATACAATAGTACTTTTTAAAAAGCCTCTTTAATGTCCTGTGTTTCACTGAAGATATGAAATCCTTCATCTTTCAAATCACACATTCATGAGTGAAGTAAACATGTCTTGCTTTCTAGAGGGTTCTGAACACATCGTGTACTACAGTCCTGTCACCTGCCATAGGCATTCCATACCAATCCAACAGCACAAGGATTCCCCTTCCTCCCCAGGGACAATCATCCAGTGAGTTGAAGATGCAGCGCTGTGTTCCTTCTGCTTGTTCTTCTCCTGGCAAAACACACTTTTTTTTCCTCAACTACTGTTGAAGATAAAGTTTTGTTTCTTAAACAGGGTAATAAAGAGAATATATTCAAAGGAAAAGGATCTTGTATAGAAAAAAACATTCTAGCTGGCGCTGCGGCTCACTAGGCTAATCCTCCGCCTTGCAGTGCCGGCACACCGGGTTATAGTCCCGGTCAGGGCGCCGGTTGCCCCTCTTCCAGGCCAGCTCTCTGCTGTGGCCAGGGAGTGCAGTGGAGGATGGCCCAAGTACTTGGGCCCTGCACCCCATGGAAGACCAGGAGAAGCACCTGGCTCCTGCCATCGGATCAGCGCGGTGCACAGGCCGCAGCGCGCCAGCTGCGGTGGCCATTGCAGGGTGAACCAAAGGCAAAAGGAAGACCTTTCTCTCTCTCTCTCTCTCTCTCTCTCTCTCTCTCTCACTGTCCACTCTGCCTGAAAAAAAAAAAAAAAAAAAAAAAAGAAAGAAAAAAACATTCTAACAAAAAGGAACAACATTCTAATGTTTTCAGAACAGAAACTCATGGAACAGGATTATTTCCTCCTTTACCACTCCCACTAAGCTTCTGTTAAGGTAGTCTAAGATGGCCTTAGTGGCTGCAGTGACATTGTCTCACTTGGACACAACTCAAATCCCAGAGTTTTCTCTGTGTGAACTGCTGCTAGACTGTGTCTGCACATCCTGTACTGGCATGACTGGCCAGGTACTTATTGGGTACTCACCCTGTACTACAGGACACTCACTATAGTGAGTACTATGAGTACATAGTACTGTACTATGTACTACAGGAGGCACAGTCAGCACATACAGCTCTACCCTTCAAGGTGTTCTCAGTCTCGTAAGGGCAATGGGTGAACTTGTGATGGTGATATTGCATTAGAAGTATACAAAAAGATTCTTAGAGCAGAGGACTAAACCCAGACTTCAAAAATGGCAAAACTTCCCGCATGAAGTGATACCTAAGGATGACTGTGAAGAGGATAGAGGAGCCAAAGCAGAGAGCGCCTCAGATTCTGCACAGAGTAATGGCTATGTTCCGAGGGTCAGCGTCCCGAGAGATTCCATCTCAGAAATCAAACAGCATCACTTCAGCCATAATCTGTGAGATGACGAAGTCACCAAGGCTACACAGGAACCAGGGGACAGGCCACAGACTCCACCTCTTCATGAAATATGGTCAAGTTTGGGGAAGAGCAGGTCTTGGAAAATATAATTAATCACAGAAATATTGCAATGTGGTTGATGCATAGAGTAGGAGAGGTTCAGGGGTGGCCAGGGATGGGAGCAGCAGAAATGAGCTGAAGCTTGTTAGTTCTGCGTTTTTGCTCCAATCCTTACTTTCTATCAATTTGCATCTTTCTCCATTTTCTTGCCCAGGAACTCTGCATTCTGTCAAGTGAGTGGAAACAACCTGGAGAAACAAGTCTTCAACATGTCAGGAAATGTGCCAACACGTGCAAGTCTTACCACACCTTATTCTGTTCAAGTTTCCCCATATGGAGGGAGGAATATTTATTGGTAAGGGAGAATTAATAGGTCCAGTGGACTGCATTTATAATGTGGAATCAAAGATTGGAGTCCTGTTCTCAGGGTCTTATATAAGCTCCAACACTGCTTTAAGACTTCATTCCCTCCTCTATACAATGTAGATCAAAATAGTGCTGAATTGCTACAAAGAAAAAAGTCAAACAGTGCTGTGAAAAATGTGAGCTATCATTAATAATTTATATCCCACATCAATTTCAAGAATCTATGTTCCATGAGGGCAGGAATCATAACCTTCTTTTGTATCCTGGGGTCCGCAGTATGTAAAATGATGCTCATCTCATAGAACAGACTCAAACCAAGTACCAAAAACAGACTTGTCACATGAAGGATTGGATGGATTGTTTTTTCAATTGTGTGTAAACAAGGCCGTGTGTGTGTGTGTGTGTGTGTGTGGGAGGAGAGAGACAGAAAGAAGGAATTGATCCAAGGAATGCTAACAGGGTATGTTACTAGACATGAATGAAGGTCTCAAACTCATCTAATTGTGCGCTCAGAAATCGTGTGACCAAATGCTTCAAAGTCACTGCTAGAACCTAGAGTCCAGAGACATGAGCAGCTTGGGGTTATACAGATGGGAAATGGCAGGCCTGGGTGGAGAGCTCAGTTCTTCCTGTGGTGTGTGGGAGTGTGGGAGGTGCAGCCATGGCTATGATTCCAGATAGCGCTCATCCATCTCATTCTGGAGACCCACTGATTTAATTGGTCCTTAAGCTAAAGTTAGAAAAACAGTTTATAAGGAAATCTTTGTAAAAGAGAATCACATTTATTATTATGTAAGTCTTCTGATTTGCATACTCAATGGTCTTTTTGAATATTCATTGCCTTCTGCTAGGTGGAGGCACTTTTGCAGTCTCCATCTGTGTCCTGTGTCCCCTTCTTCAACACAGACAGCAGTGTTATGGGGGCTGCCCATGGAGAACTCTGCAAAGCCCCAGGGCAGTGTTCATTTAAGAGAAAGGTCCTATAGCAGCTATTAACACTTATTAATACTGTCAACACTTACTAGAAGTTTTATTCTCCACTGCAATGAAAATGCAAACAGCTGTGAGTTTTCATTGGCGAGGAGGGATCTCATCAGCTGAAGGTTTTGTTTGTGTTGTTAAAGAATGGAAGGTGACATTAGGTGAGTACCTACAACCACCTCATAGGGCAAGTATTCCAAATTCCATTTTGATAGTTAGCAGACAATAGCTCAGAAAGTAATTCTATCAGAACAGTACTCTAAGATCTGGCAATATATGGGGTTCCCTAAACAGTGCTTCTCAACCTTTTTTTGCACATTAGAATGATCCAAGAAACTTAAAAACTACTGGGGTCTTACTTTGCTTGTTACTGATTCAACTGATCAAGAGTAAGATTTGCATACTACAAATTTTATAGTTCAATGAAATTCATTATGTAGTCAATGTTGAGAACTACTGATATAGACAAGGAGTTGACAAACTTTATTTATTTAAAAGACATCTTTTCTGTTCAGTCCTCAAATACTTCCAACAGCAGATATGGGGCCAGGACAAATCCAGAAGCTAGATACTCCACATGGGTGACAGGGACCCAAGTGCTTGAGTCATCATCTGTTGTTTCCAGTGTGCAGGCAGCAGGAAGCTGGATTGGAATTGGAGATGGAACTTGATACCAGGGCACTCCAATATGGGGTGCAGGCATCCCAAGCAGCAGCTTAACTCACTGGGTTATACCATCCAACACAAAAGCCTTAATCTATGAAGGACAGAGATGAAAATTTTTTGCCTTTGCTATTCTTGTGGTCTCTGTCCCAGCTGCTCATCTTTGGCACTGTAGCACAAAAACAGCCAAGATCATATGTAAATGAATGAGCCTGACTGTGTTCCAATGAAACTTTGTCTACAACAAACGGCTATGGCCCACAGCCTGCAGTTTGCTGACCTAAAAGTCTAGAAACTGAAGCCATCAAACAAGAATGAGATGGGTATGTTTATGGCCAGGTGACTATTATTTTGTGGAAGGAAGCTTGGGTTGGTTAGGGAGAATAAAGCTGAAGTAATTCTTTCAGAGCCAATCTCGAATAGTATTATAATGAAAAATTCTGTTTTTTTTTTTTCCCCCAGTGGAAAGTTAATTTTCTATTTTAAGAAAGGTCCACTGTGACTAATATTAACATTTTAAAAGACGGAGGCTGCTTTCTGTTCAAGTAAATGTATAAGTAAACACACACCACCTTTATAGCTGATATCTTGAGAGCATTTTACACAAAAGATTCATGGTCCACATCATATTTCTGCTTATGTATTTGGAGTAAATACTGGGGCGTGCATACTCATAATCTGTTTCCATCATTTTTCAGACTGTTACCTTTGACAAAAAAAGAATATTGCAGGAGCAGCCAGGGGTTTCACCGTCCTTGCTGGAAAGGGAAATGCTTTGCATTTAACAGTATAATTTGAAGTTTCCCATTTGGCTTAGTTGTTTACATGTCTCTGCGCTTGCCAGCATTGGACCAAAGCTTTTTATGCCTCCTTTGGCAAAGTTGTGACACAGTTTTGCCTTTCTCCTTCCTACTGCAAATATAAGCGGACTTCAAAATATCTGTGGAAAAAATAATTAAAGGTCTATTTTGATGCAAACATAAGTGAAATCCATGCAATTTTTTCTCGATATGCTTTTTCCATGAAAATCTTGAGGATACCACATAAGCCTGGATTTGTAAAAATAATCACCAAAATAATATTATTTTAAGTTCTATTTTTCATGAATTTTTTGAAATACCTTCACATACAACCCAAGGTCTAGACTGGCCTGGTCAGAGCAGGGAGCAGATGGAGAGGCCAGCACTGATGGAGAGTGTGTGACATTTGGCAGGGTACTGTGTTGTCCTGTCAATACAAGGTGGTGGGGAAGAGCTAATCACTTGCGAGGTCACAGCCTCCCAGCTTCTGCCCATCCCATGCTGAAAGACAGTGGGGTTTCTGCTTCAGTCTCTCCTGTTTGTGGCCACTGCTCCATCTATTTCCAAGTTCCTTATGGTTGCCTTACACTTCACAATCTCCCACTACCCCTTAACCAGCTAAGTGGGATTGGCTCTGGCTCTAAAACCCAGTATATGGGCCCAATAATGATGATTAGACCAGGAATGATTAGCAAGAACAATGATTAATAATAACAGTAATTCTATGAACAAACACTTTGCACTCTCTGTGTGCACGTCTTGAAGGAACTTTTCCTATGCACTGTTTTGGCCCTGACCAGGTAATAGCAGCTTGAAGGGAAGATAGTTCAAGCAATCCTTACAGTAGGGATAACCTGTTAACAGGTAAATACTCCCTGTACTCCTTGTCACTGCCTGGAAACCTGCTCTGATTATTCTTGTGGAATTCTCTGCCTCTACCTCTGCTCATGCACCTTTATCCTGGACAACATCAATCAGATTAAACACACTTGGCCTTGGGTGAAGGCCAGCATTGAATCCAGTTTCCAATTCCAGCAGAGATACTATGGGCACAAAATGCCATTCCCTACTGGACATCCATAACATAAGGTCAGGCCCACTGATGATCCAGTGTAGCCCAGGCCTGATGCTTTCATCTTCTAAACAGTGTGAGGTCCTCTGCATGGCTCATGTCTGTGCCTGCTTATCCTTGGCACAGAGAACACCAGGATGAGGCAGAATTGCTTGCCACCATGGCTAAGTGTAGAGACTAAGTAGGGAGGAGGAGGTATAATCTTATCATCCACATCATTACCACTGCCACCATCACTATCAATGGCATCTTGATCACTGCCACCATTATTACTGTTCCCATTTCCAAAAGATCAGCAGCAGCGCAACTAACACTACAACTATCATCACCACCACCACCCTCACTCCCACATGATCACCGCCTACAACACAACCCCTTCTTTCATGCCACAACTTTTTGCACATCTGTTTGTCTTCAGGTAGCAGTTTTTCTTCATGACATAGAATCTTAAAATGATCTGATTAAAGATGAAGATATTGAAAAGTTGGAGAAGGAAGGGGGTTTATCCATGGTCACCAGCTCACAAATGTGGAGCTAGGACTTAAATCTAGCTCTGTTTGATACCAGTGCCCAAGAACTTTCCATAGCAACAATTCACATTCAAGTGCTTGCTCTATGGGAGATGCTATTCTAAGCCAGTGGATTACCTCTTTTAAGCCTAACAACCACCATGACAAATGCATATACTATTACTCAAAACAGTCAAAGAAAATGACACATAGGATGATCAAGTCACTTGGCAAAAGTCTTGGGGCCATTAGTGTACTTGGTTTCCAGTGCAGACTATCAGACTCCAGCATCAGTCTTCCAGAACAGGCTCTCACCTGCCTCTCACAGATGCTGCCAGGAAGCTTCCCAATACCTCAGGGACTGTGCCTGAAAGGAGGGGGGAAAACCCAGTGACCCCCGAGAGTCAGGGATTCCCTAGAGCAGACCTCTGAGATAAATTATGCCAGAGTACACAGGCATTTATCAAGCCTGATAGCATCCTGGCTTTCTGTGCTAAAGAGACTACAGTTCTTGAATAAACGTGTTCACCTCCCCCACCTCTGTTTGCCCAGTTGTAGATTTTGCTTCTTGCATTCTAAGCAAAGGAGCACACCGAGAAAGCAACTTCTTTGTCATGCTTTAAAAGCAGATGAACTTTTTAAAAAGATACAATGAAAACTAGATTTTAGGTGTTATATTACCACTAAAAGTAGTAGCATTTGTTTCACATTGTTTCAGAGCCATGGTTTGAATTGTGGGAGTGAAAGCTGAAGTTGAGTCCCTGGTTAAGGGTCAGTAAGCTACTTGTAAAATTAAAAAAAAAATATGGTTGTTAGTGAAGTTAGTAAAGATAACTTTTTTTCTATTTCCCAAAGCTCTTTCCCACTGAGCACAGTGCTTGTGCCATGATGGCTCACAGATCATCAGCCCTAGGGATCAAGTGGGTCCCGAGACTCTAGATCCTTGGTTTTGTGATCTTGGTTAACCTACAAGAATTTGCCATTTGTCAAACAGGGTTAACAGTAATATTTAACCCTTAGGCTTGAAACAAAGTGAACGGATGGTGTTTGAATTTTTTTTCAAAGACCCCAGGGCTCAGAGGGGCTGGCCTCTGAATGACCTCAGTGAGCTGGTGGCAGAAGACATCCTTGGTTCAGGCCCTGGAGCTTCTCCTTGACTCCACCTTGCTGCCGCTATGTTCAGTCACGCCATCTGTTTCCTTAGGAATAAGAGTGCGCATGAGGCTAACTTGAGCCAGGGTGTGGGTCCCACCCAGGGCCACAGATGAAGGTGTGGGGGGCTAATGTGTTCCTCCTCCGTCCACTAAAACCTTTCCACTGCCCTGTATCCTCCCAAGGGCATTTTCCCAGCTTTGGTCCCATGACAGTTCCACACTGTTGAAGGTGTTGCGGAGGCTACAGTTATTATACTTATTAGCATTTTATGAGCTTGTTATTCACCCCTTAAGCTCCTTAATATGAAGCAGCACATTTTAAAAGCACAGCACATACTTAATTGATTCTGATATAAAAGGGTTGCTGGACTCCATGAGTTTTTGTCTTTGCTTCTGAGTCTATGATGCATTAATGGGGACAATATAGATTTATGGACTTAGAAGTGGTACAAGACAGCTCAAATTTTTCTTTCCGGAGATCATACAATTGTGTTAATTCCAACGGACCTTGCTTCCTGCTATCAGGAATGATGACCTTTGTTTAACCTCTGAATTTTTTTCTGGCATATGCATCATATGCAAGCTCCAAGGGATTCAAAAGATCTACTTCACGCGGTGGTAACTCACATTGCGACTCTAGCACTTTATCAGCTTTCACTTACAGAAGTTTGTCAATGGCTTTTCTCAGCTCTTGTGGAGTAAGTTTCTTTGTTTTACAAAAGGCTGCAGCTAAAAGCTAGAAAACTTATGCTCTAGTTATGTGACCTGTAAAATGCAAATTTAGGCTCTTTCCTGTAACCTGTAAAATGCAAACAAAGCATTTGTTCTGGGTGCTTCCATGTTGTTAGTGGCCACATGATTCGAACTCAGGTTCCTTTACTCCCATTTTCTTGATATTTGAAATATTACTTAGAAGCAGGTAAATATAAGTACATTAAGAACATCAAGGAATATAAAAGCACAAGAGATTATTATTACTGTCATTTACTGGGAAAATATCTTTTTTTATTTATTTATTTGACATAGATCTCCCATCTGCCAGTTAACTTCACAAATGCCCACAATAGCCAGAGCTAGGAACTCAGTCTGGGTATCTCATGTGAATGGCAGGAACTCACATAATTGAGTCACTATCTGGTGCTCCTAGGGTACGCATCAGTGGGAAGCTGGAATCAGGAGCAGAGTAGGGGCTCAAAGCTAGGCACTCTGATACGGGATGCAGGTGTCCCAACTAACAGCATTTCTGCTAGAACAAATCCCTGCTTCTTTCTTGCATAACAAAAAATTAGCAACTAAAGCCAAAATTGTTTTATTTCAAGTTTAAAAAATAGTGATGACTACCCTTGTGACCACCAGTTACTGGCTGCGTATATATTTTCTAACATTTAAGGGTAGAAGACAGCAGACCAGTATTCCACAGATGATGGGGATACTGACAATTTGGATGTGGCCTGAGAGTTTGAACTCCTGACTTTTCCAAAGGAGATTTATGTTCTCCCCTTCCCTCTGTTTCCTGCCATGGGCAGGGAAGAACTCACATGGAACACATTCAAAACATGTGACCTCCACCTCCCCACTGCAGCCGCATGTTGAACTAGCTGACCACTTTGTTTCCCAAATATTTGCATCACTTCAAGGAGTAAACATGCCAATCACGATGCTACGAACGGCTCTCCTTTTCTCCTCTTGCCTTCCCTAAGCGTCCCCTTTTATGTCAAGTCCCATGCTAGTTATAGGTTTCCTGAGGCATCATTCTCCCAGTTTCATCAAGGACGCGGGGATGTCAACCTCCAGTGATGGTACAATGAGAGGTGTTTAGGCTGCAAAGCAAGAATAAAGAATGAAGGAATAAAGGCAAGAGTCAGTGAAGTCTGGGTAGCAGATGGGATGCTTGACTTGACTTGGGGGATATGCAGGCAGTAACTGGATGTGGGACTGTGGGGCTAACGTGCTTGCTCCAGAGGAAATGGGGCACCCAGAAGCAGGGAGCTGCTTAAAAACATGACACAGTCTAAGAATGGCAAGTTTGGGGGTTTCTTGCAAGACAAGTGCTGATCTAGGTGTGGGCAAGTGATAAAACTTGCGAAATAGGCAGGTATCAGGTCTTTGAAGGCCATGTGAGGCTAGCACTTTCACATGTGGTAGAAATCCAATGTTCTGTAGGCATGGGTATTGGGAATCCCATAGATGGGAGGATGAGTTATACATCTAAGACCTCAGTTTTCAGGTTCCTTCATTTCTTTTCTTACACACCGATAGTATCAGTGTTTCTCAAATGCAACTGGTTTAGAGGCTTCAGTCTTTGAATGCAGGACATGGGGCAGGTACTGCTGAGTCAGTGCTTCCATGGCGCTCTTTACGCCAGCCTTTCTCTCTACTCCAGCATCTTTCCTAATGGAAATAACCTCCGCATCCCGAGTCAGCTTCTCCCTCTTCTAGACAGTGCCTATCAAATAAAAAAATTACTATAATTTCTTTAGCTTGGGAAAAAATTCCTCCTCAAACCCCATTTTCTTGCAACTATGCCCCAATTTCCCCCTTTCCTAAAAACACGATTTTTTTTTTAATTTTTTGACAGGCAGAATTAGTGAGAGAGACAGAGAGAAAGATCTTCCTTCTGTTAGGTAGGAAGTTAGATATGAGCTTATGTGTATATGACAGGCCTAAAGAGAAGATGTCTATGACCAGCATATGCTGCATCTCAAAGTCATCCTGATAACATTTCAGGGGCAGCCCGGCATTCACATCCTACCCTGCCCCCTTCTACCTGATAACCTGCCAGGTGGAGGTCTCCGCCCCTTCTGCCTGACAAATCTTCCACAATCTCCCAGATGCAGCCCAGTATCTGCATTTCAAACACCCTGCTCTCAGATCCCCATTCTCTAGGGGGTCCTGCTCGCCCTTCCCCTGAACCCAGGATGGTGCCAGCTACGCTTCCTCCTGTCTGATACCTTCAAGGGAAAACTCAGATAGGAGCTTCTTAATATTTACAGCCATAAAATCCTTAACACCCCCCCCCCCGCCTCAACTGGACTGCACACTCAGCCCTCTGCCTCTCTGTTGAGCCGCCCGCCTGGCCTGCCCAGGTATAATCTCTCTACTCAACCATGTAACCTCACTCCCCCCCCTCCCCCAGTCCAGGTGACTGGGCACTCTGTCTCAGGTCCTTTCTAGAGAGGTGCCCATCCGTTCTTATGGATGTCCCTACCCTAATAAACCTTGCTATTTTACCTCCCACTACTCTGTCTCATGCCTGAATTCTTTCTTGTGCGAAGACAAGAACCCTGCATTTCTCCGGTAACACTTCCGTTGGTTCACCCCCAAATGGGCACTATGGGCCCCCCAAATAGCCACTACGGCTGGCGTGCTGCACCGATTCGAAGCCAGGAGCTTCCTCCTGGTCTCCCATGCGGGTGCAGGGCCCAAGGACTTGGGCCATCTTCTACTGCACTCCCAGGCCACAGCAGAGAGCTGGATTGGAAGAGGAGCAACTGGGACAGAATCCGGCACTCCGGCAGGGACTAGAACCTGGGGTGCCGGCGCCGCAGGCGGAGGATTAGCCTATTGAGCCGTGGCGCTGTCCAAGAACACATTTTAGAGATGTCTCTAGCTTCCGCCTCTTGTTAACCACATCAGGTTCTTTATTCTGATCAAGTTCTCACCTCTACTGCTTTCAGACTACTCACATCAGGAACATCAGTCATGCAGGGACCACTTTTCACCCATCCTTTCCCTCTCTGTAGCCATTGACAGGCTGATATCGCTCATTGGGACTTCCTTTGCTTTGCTTCATGGACAACAGACAGCTGCTGCCTTCCCCCAGCATTGCTGTCCCTCCTCCTTGGTCTCCTTGGCTGTGTCTAAGTGGTGAACCAGCCTAGCCTTTTTTCCTTGGTCCACTCTCGGCATCTATTCTGAGTCAATACAATGCCTTTCAATGCCATGGACCAACAGCTCCACCTCGCTAGCTTTGATCCTTTCCCAGAACTCACTAAACATGCAGATTAGGAAAAATGTCCCCCCAAAACTTTTGAAGTAGACGTGCTATCTCACAACCCTGTTTATGTTTCTGATCTCATCACAGAACACTCTCCTCTGGTTCATTACACTCAGGCCGTGTGTGTGTGTGTGTGTGTGTGTATACATTCATACATATATACATATATATTACTTGAACTGACAAACTTGCTTCCTCCTGCTTTAGACTCTATGTTAACTGTTCCCTCCTACTGGGAGGTTCTTTTCCCAGTATTCAGGGTCAGGCTGTTTCCAGCCTTCTACACGCACCTTACCTGCGGTATTCCCCACATACTCATTTCCACATGACCTTATTCTCATTCTTCACATACATTTTATCATCATCTGACAATGTCTCCTGTCTTGTCTTGATTGATTGACTGTCTTCACTAGCGTGTTAGCCCCATAAGATTGGGGAACTTGTTTATCTTGTTAATTACATTATCCCAGGTCTTAGAATACTGGTTGGCAATGGTAAATGCTCAACAAATATTTGTTTAAAGAATGAAGGGACAAATAAATGTTAGTTCTCCTCCTGTAAACCCTGTAAGCAAATGCTGCTTGAGTGAATGGATAAACAAAACTGCTCTACTCATTTTCTCTCGGTAGCCAGCCTTCGCAAAATCCATCATGTTCATGATATTTGCATTTCCCATATGGTCTTTCAGGGGTCGCTGGGTTTACTTTGTCCTGAGTGTGTCCCACTGGCAGCCCATCTTCATTCCTGTGAAATCTTTGACCTCTTTCTTTCATTCAGATGGAAATAGAAGCAGTAATTAGCAGCTGTCATTAACTAGGGCTGCTCCTGAATGGTTGGATTCCTCTTGCTGAACTTTGAAGCTCTTGAGTTCTCCTCCTGCATGAGGGATTAATGTGACTTTCTGACAAGGTTATGTTGAAATATCCTGGCATGGGGGGCAAGCTCTGTATGTGCTTATATGTGAGACATAGGGCAGGCATGCTGTTGACATGATGTGGAAGACCAAAGAAAGTTGTGGTGAAAGCATGCAGAAAGCCGATTTAGAAGGACAGATCTTGTACCCAGTTTCTCTCTTCCTAGCTCTCTGGTTTTGAACAAGTTGTTATTTTGAGTTCTGATTTCTTCATGTGTAAAGTAGCATACTAATATTTACTTCATGAGGTTGCTGATTTGACTAACTTGAAACTAATATTTCATCTTCTCTGCCTGGTATATTCCCCAGTGCAACATAGGTGTTCACTGTTATTAGTAACAGTGGCACCAGTACAATTAACTCCCCATTTTAGGAGCCGATTCATTCACTTGATGGGTTTTTTTTCTATCAATTTTATGCGTGGAATTTTCTTTAATGTGTGCTTAAAGTTAAGGAATAGAAAATGAATGATAATTAGGGGTCCTAAATAGACCTAAGTAATTTTGACTTCACTTTCCTTATAGCTGTAATCATATCACAAGGCTATGGGCCCCAACAGAAAGCCTAGGGCAGTGAAAGAGGGGACATTGAAGCAGTGGCCACAGGCAAGGGTGTTATGTGAATAAGCTCTGGGAGATGGGGTATTATTTCCTTGCAAGCCAATATACTTTATTTGTTAAAGTAATTTATTTTTCATTTTACTTGAAAGACAAAGGGATGGAGGTACACAAAAACAGATCTTCCATCTACTGGTTTCCTCCCCTAATTCCCACAACATCTGGTGCTGGACCAGTCTGAGCCAGGAGTTAGGAATTCCATCCAAGGTCTCCTATGTGAGTGGCAGGGACCCAACCACTTGAGCCAACATTTGCTGCCTCCTAGGATGCATATTACTAAGAATCTGGATTGGAAGTGGCAGAGTCTTAACTCCAGTAAGGAACTTCATCTCACATGGGTTGTCAACATCCTAAGTGGTAACTTAACCACTGTGCCAAATGCCTGCACCTCCAGTTCTACCGGCCACTTTTGCTTTGAATTATAAAACATTGCATGAGGCAGACATAATGGTCACAATTTGATGCATGAGAGAACTGTTGTTCTGATTATTTAGTAACAAGGCAAAGAATAGAGCCAGAATGCAAATTAAAAAAAAAAAAACCTGAACATCTAAGTTGGTCACCCATATTCTTTGTCTCTGTGTCTTTTCCTCCATGTGGTCACTTTATTCTTAACCAGAAACCAAGTCCTGCCTTCACTACTAGACTTAGGTTGCTAGATCATCTCTCTAGTAGCCACTGGTAACTTCGTGGTTGGTTGATATGTAGAAGCCTATTTTGTTACTGACTACCAGATGGATACCACAGGTTTCATCCCCTTTTGGGACCTCTCCCTCTGCACAAAGTTATTCTAGTTTTCCATCTATAATTTGCATACATATGGGTGGACAACCTCATGGAAATGGAATTAAAAGATACATTTATCTGCTAGGCTGAGCCAAAGTCAGGAACCTGAAATTCAAGTCAGGTCCCCCACATGGGTTCAAGGACCTAAGAACCTAGGCCATCATCTCCTGCTGCTTCCCATGATCTGCATTAAAAAGAAGCAGTACTGAGGCCTGGGATGGGCAGAGCAGGTAACACCTCCACCTGCAGTGCTAGCATCCCATATGAGTACCATTTCTAGTCCTGGCTGTTCCACTTCTGATCCAGCTCTCTGCTGTGGCCTGGGAAAGCAGTGAAAGATGGCCAAGTCCTTGGGCTCCTGCACCCATGAGGGAAACCCAGAGGAAGCTCCTGGCTCCTGGCTTCAGATCAGCTCACCTCTGGCCTTTGCAGCAAACTGGGGAGTGAACCAATGGCTAGAAGACCGCCCTCCCTCCCCGTCTCTGTCTCTCCCTCCCTTCCCATCTCTCTCAAATAAATAAATAAATACATCTTACAAAAAAAAAAAAAAAAAAAAAAAAAAAGCAGTACTGGGACTCAAACCCAGGAGTTCCAATATGTTGGATCTTAACTGATGCAACAAATACCCACCCCACAAAAACTTTTGAAATCTATGTGTAGTGCTTTCATAACATGCATTGTCCGCCAGCGCCGCGGCTCAATAGGCTAATCCTCCACCTAGCGGTGCCAGCACACCAGGTTCTAGTCCCGGTCAGGGCGCCGGATTCTGTCCCAGTTGCCCCTCTTCCAGGCCAGCTCTTTGCTGTGGCCCGGGAAGGCAGTGGAGGATGGCCCAAGTGGTTGGGCCCTGTACCTCATGGAAGACCAGGAGAAGCACCTGGCTCCTGCCTTCGGAACAGCGCGGTGTGCCGGCTGCAGCGCACCAGCCGTGGCGGCCATTGGAAGGTGAACCAACGGCAAAAGGAAGACCTTTCTCTCTATGTACTCTGCCTGTCCAAAAAAAAAAAATTAAAAAAAAATGCATTGTTCATGAGCTTTCAAGTACCCTTGTATAACAATTCGAAAGAGGCACTCCTTACCCAAGGACAAACACGAGTTTCTAAAATCATCTACAATACCGAATGGCTCCGCCTTTAAATTTTGTTCATCAGTTGACCTCCCTAGCTCAGTCACCACTATTTCAATACCCCCAGCTGCCAGCCAACCTCAATCTTATCTAGTTTTAAGCACACACAGTCTTCTACCAGCACTTGGTTGAATGACCTCAAATTTGCAGAGTTCAGCTTGGGATCCCGTCGGCTGTCACAGAGCAGTCGCAGGATTGCAGTGCTCGCTGCTGCAGAACATGCTGACAGCGGGGAGCTGCTGCAGTGAACTCTTCCCAAACGGCTGAAAGGAAGCACCCTTCAAGGGGAGAGGGGACAGACTGGCCTGCTCTTCTTTCAGGCCAGTTTTTCAAGGTGATGGAGAAACCGTTAGCAAGACATCGGAGTGACTATTTTCCAATATAACCACTTTCTCTTTCATCACATCTATTAACTGACAGCTGGAAGCACAAGGTTACTGGGGAGCCAAAGTAGATGAGGCTTAGAAGGGAAAAACAGCAGGGACGTCAACAAAGTGAACCAGAAGAGAACAAGAGAAGGGGGGTTTATTGAGCAACTTCTTTTTACCAGTAATTACTCTGGAGATTCTGCCAGTCAAGGCAATTCAGTGCACAGATACAAGAATTTCTTTAACAAAAATCAGAAACTGAGGTAAGC